TCATCTCCTGCAGCAGGAACATCAGCCTGGATGGAAATGGCCTGTAGGATGCGGGCTTTTAGCCTGCTGCTTACGATGCATACATCCCACCTCACAGTATTTGGGTACAAAGCCTCAGCTCCGACTCCAACTTCCTCTAATACAGGCCCATCGAGGCAGCTGTGTTGGCTCAAGAAATCAGGTTCTTGACACTCACGTGGGAACCCCGGATAGAGAACCTGTCTCCCATGTTTGACCTCGTCATTGCAGGCATTTGGGAAGCAAACAGATGGATAGAGACTCCATTTCTTGAGGAAAGAACATTTGAGAAAATACAAAAACAATGACTCATCTACTTCTGTTTCCTCTGCTAGACTGTAAGACTCTTGTAGGTTCAACTCCTCTTGGTTGCCCTGGGTGAGCTCACAGATGCCGTCAGGTACTAAGTGTTTTGCCTGGACCACATTTAACTCACATAATCCTAGTGGAGTTGGGCTTGGCGGCGTGGCCTAGCGGCTAAAGTCCTCATCTTGAATGCACTGGGATCCCATATGGATGCCAGTTCTAATCCTGGCAGCTCCACTTCCCATCCAGCTCCCTGCTTGTGGCCTGGGAAGGCAGTCGAGTACAGCCCAAAGCCTTGGGACCCTGCACCCACGTGGGAGACCTGGAGAAAGTTCATGGCTCCTGGTTTTGTATCGGCGCAGCACTGGCCGTTTCAGTCACTTGGGGAGTGAATCATCGGACGGAAGATCTTCCTCTCCATCTGTTCTCCTCTCTTTATCTGACTTTGCAATAAAAATAAATAATAAAAAAAAAGAAAATATTCAAAAAAAATCCTATGGAGTTAAGTCTCACTGCAAGTCTCATTTTACAGATGAATAAATGCAGACACCAAAAGGTTAAGTGACTCAGCCACGGCACTGCACCTGGGAAGCACAGGGGATTGGCTTCCAGATCTGTGTTCCTCCCCTCCCTTCCACATCACCTTGACCCTCATTCAGCATTCTTGTTTTTCTCCACTTACGCTCTAATACTACAATGAAAGCTACCATTGCTGTTGTCTTCTGTTATTCTGTGTTGTCTCTGTAGCAGCCCTATGCTACGGGGCTCTTTGCAACCATCTCCTCTCATGTGTAGAGCTGGATTTGGCAAGCTGTTTATGACCCAATTAAGCAACTTCACAAAAAAACATCTTGGCACTTATTGCCAGATTAAACCCTGGGTGGAATGGCCCCTGGGAAGACCCCATTGCTTTTGTGGTTTTCACCACGGCTGCATGTTTCCTAAAGTAACAGATGCTGCAGCTGTCAGCATGAAGCAAAAACACTGCCACTACGTGTGGCCTCCCGGTGCTTTCCACACCTCAGCCATGAGTCATCACTGCAGTCAGGCCTGTCCACTTCTCCTAGGGTTGGGAGGAAGCTGGGGTTTCCTTTCGGAACTAGCAGCTCAGGGTCTCCGACATTCTGAAGAACACCCGACCCTGCTGGAGCATTACGTCTTTGGAGCCGGGTGGATAGACTGAGCACTTGGCAGAGCATGACTGCAGCCTATCAAGCCCTCCACACTCTCCTCCCTGTGACCCTTCCCCAGCAACGTCAGCAGGCTTTTCATTACATCCAGGGCATAATTGTTAGAGTGGTAACCCAGCTGGGCAGGGCAGATGTCACTCCAAAGTACTTTGTAATGAAAGGCACAGGAGCAGATACTCAGGCTGGGGTATTGTGAGGCTGCGCTTTCCATGCCAATGGATGCTGTCCCGTTTCTAATGCTGCAATCAGTGTCCTGCAGTTCAATTCCGTGTTGAGATGTCACCACTGCAGGCAATGTGCAGAATGAATTTTTTGCCATAAATTGGGAAGATATGTATTTTAAAAAAAAAGTTATTTTATTTGAAGGACAGAGAAGGAAAGAGAGAGACCTCCCATCCTCTGGTTCTTTCTCAAAATGTCTGCAGCAGCTAGGCAGGGCCAGGATTAAGTCAAGAGCCTGAAACTCCCCGCTGGGCTTCCCACATGCATCCCAACGTGGGCACCACCGCTGCTCCCCAGGCACATGAGCAAAACACTGGCTCAGAAGCGAACAGCTGGGACTTGAACCAGCGCTCAACTATGGAATGCTGGCATCACCAGTGGTGACTTTAAGGTGCTGAGTGATAGCTGTTGCCTGTAACACACAAGAACCTTGCAGGGAAACTGTGAAAGAACCTGGCTGTGGGCCCAGCGCAGTGGCCTAGTGGCTAAAGTCCACACCTTGAATGGGCTGGGATCCCATATGGGCACCAGTTCTAATTCCGGCTGCTCCACTTCCCATCCAGCTCCATTTGTGGCCTGGGAAAGCAGCAGAGGACGGTGCAAAGCCTTGGGACCCTGCACCCATGTGGGAGACCTGGAGGAGGCTCCTGGCTCCTGATCAGTGTAGCTCCAGCCATTGTGATCACTTAGGGAGTGAATCACTGGACAAAAGATCTTCCACTCTTGTCTCTCCTCCTCTCTGTATATCTGACTTTACAATAAAAATAAATAAATCTAAAAAAAAAACAACTGGTTGTGATGGCCAGCTCTAGCTACAAATTCTAGTATTCAAACACGTGCCTCAACCGCCAAAGGCGGACCACGCTTCCTCCAGCCTTCCAGGCGTCTCTCCAGTGTCTACCAGAAAAGGATCTGGTCACATCAAGACCTCACTGCCACCCTTCCCCTAGGCCCGTGAATTAGCAACATGTCTGTCACCCACAGGAGCAGCAAACTCAAGGCAATTCTACTGCTAACTCCGTAGCCATCAAGACAGCCCCTTAAAAAGGACGTAATTTCCCATGCTCCTCAATTGTGAGATTAAGTTGAAAAAAAAAAAAACTTGGAGTTTAAAGCAAATTGCATTCCGATCTGGGAGAAAGAGAGATATATGACTGAGCCCTTGAGCCAGAAGCTCTGGGAGAGATGCCCAGAAAAGCAGGCGCCCTACGCCCATTGCTCCTCCTCCTCTGATCAAGCCCCACCACAAGGTCTAGAAAAGGCCATGGGAAATGGCATTAAAAGGTACATCTGTCGTACTGCAAAATCCCTGAAATCCACATATATTCTTATAAAACGCATCTCCCATAAACTTTCTGAAGTTCTTGCGTATCTCAGCATGGAATGTGCTCTTCTTGCTGTAGCCATTTCCTGAAGATAATGCGGCTGCAATTCGGCAAACTAGGCATTTCTCTTGAGATGTGTAAGAAGCAGTAGGAACAGAACCCTACATAATACATCTTAGAAGTTTGTTGTGAAGCTTAAATGGGACAGAGCACAGTTAAGTGGTGTCAACCTCACTGCAAACACAGGCAGGATGTTGGGGTGAGTGAAAAAAATGAAATGCAAATAGTTACCATTACTAGTTCCCAGGTAACGAAGCTCCTTAACAAGTACGGCAACGCATGGCGAAGAGCAGTTCTCGCCTCTTCTTCTATAAAGTTAGTTCAGTGTTCTCAGTTTTCCAATTTTAAAACTTACTTAGTAGGGCCCTTAAGAGAACAAGCCAAGCCTTGTGGAAAAGGCAAAGGTCTTGGATTCAACAAAGAACCACACCAAAAGGTACTGAATACCGAAGCCAAATGCTGCCCGACAACTTGGTCTGGGTGACGCAGCACTGACGCCATCGTTGGTGCTGTGTGATCTGAGCAATTTAATCTTTTAAACTTGGCTTTCTTATCTCTACTAAGAGGCTATTGTTTCGCTATCTACCTATCTAAAGAATGCTAGTTTAAATAGTTGGTGAGTTCTGACATAAACATGACTACAGTGAAAATGGAATGTATTTTTTTTAACATGATGCTAACAGTTCAGAATGATGTAGAATCCAGGATGGTTGGACAATTTAGTCATACTTAGAAACCTGCAATTGTGACTTGAGCAAACCTTAACTAGCAAACGTCATTCTTTTTCAAACTTGGAACCCCCTTGCTTCAACCCCCAATAGTCCCACCGGAGCAGGAGTGTGTGTCAGCTGCAATACAGCCTAACAGGAAACTGCTTCATCTACCCAAGTTAACAAAAACCTTTAGGTCTTCTTGTAGTGGAATTCTATGGCACATCTTATTCGAAATCATTGGGCTAACACATTAGGATTCTATTTTGCTTTAGAGATTTATTGTGAAAGGCCTGGGGCTAAAGGTATTAATATGTTGTTAAAGATGGAATTGCCTGGAGGGAGCATCTGGTGCAGCAGTTAAGAGCTGGTGATATCTGCATCCATATGGGGATGCCAGAGTTGGAGTGACAGCTGCATTCTTAATTCCAGTTCCGTGCAAATGGGTACACCAGGGAGGCAGAGGCATGCTCCAGCTTCCTGAGTTCCTGCTTCTCCGTGAGGTGGAGACTGAACTCCGTGCTCCTGGTTCTGACCCCAGCCCAGCCTAGACTCACAGGAATTTGGAGAGTAAGTTAACTTTATCTCTAACTTAAATAACAGTCCTATTTTGGTCAGGTAACCCAGGACAGCATGCATGTGCCAGAGGGGTATCTATCATTTCATCACAGGAAAAAAAGAAAGCTAAAAAGCTGGTCCTGTTCATACAGTCATCATTTTACAGCTCCATTTAGATGAGCACTTTCAGGAGATTAGGAAAAAGATACCAAAAACAATTTTAAAATTACAGTTGCATTTTGTTCAATTATAAGGTAAAAGGCAGGCAGTCCTTTTGCCAAAAGCATAAAGCGTTATGAACCTCCTGTGAAAACGCAAGGGTAACTGCCACCAGGACAAACAGTGGAGCTCTCAGCAAAGGCAGGGCAGGTGCAGTAAAAACAGAACCAGCTTTCCTAAATCAAAGTGGGGGAGGTTCCAGATAAGCTGCTGCTGAAGGGCAGTCTCGCCCTGGCAGGATGGGATCCACAACGGGCACTGTGTTGCTGAGAGGGTTGGCCGAGCCATCACGGGGTCTTTTTCCCATTCTCCTCACCACAACGAAGCTGCAGCTAATCAGGCTATGGGCTTAAGAATAGAGTACGTGAAAAAAAATCGTGAAACCATGAAAATACATTTTTTAAAAAAAGTTTTCAGATATAATACACAAAAGCAAACAAGTTTATCTTAAAAAATATCAAGTATCACATCCATAGCCTATTCCTAATCATAATTATTTCTTAAAGCAACATTTGTCTTTGTTTACAAATACAGCAGCAGGTGATAAAACCTAGTATCTCAAACAGATTTTTTTTTTTACAGTTCATAATACAAATGTATAGGTCTCAAATCACATTTTAGGCAATTTAACTTAAAATGCATAGACAATTACATACATTAAATTTGTCATTAAGTCAATGGAAAGATCACAATTTCAAGAAAAATTACAAAAACCTTTATAGAACACACGTTAAGAAGTCAAGTTTATTTAATGGCAACAAACCAGTTATCTGCTAATCAGTGACAGGCAGTGAAAGTGCCTCTATTGGGGAAGTGAGGAGGAAAATGTCCCACTGCTTTGCACACTTGAATAGTCGCAATGATCAACACTACAGTCTCGAACATCATTCACTTTGTAGTTAAAAAAAAAAAAGTCAAAAGGTAGACCCCCGTTGTACCCTTTACAAACGCCCGCAGGCTGGTCTGGAATTCCCACCAGCAAGCCTACAATGTTTATCTAGGTGAATAAGTGGTGTTTCCCGGGCACCTGTAATGTCACTTCTAGGCTACAAGGCTCTTAAGGACGGGACTCTCACCTCTCTGATGTGGTATAGCGCCTGTGTCAACAGTTCAGCCACTACTGAACCAAAGTAATCTTTCTGATGTTTTCCACAGCCGGAAGCTGGCATGGCATTTAACACTGATTTGTTTCCTGACAATTTTTGTTTTGCTTGGCAGAAATTCTGAAAACGAAAAGAACAGCATCTGTCTTCCAACAATAAATATTGCTTTATTAATTTAACTAGTTGTCCCTGAAAGCCACCCACCACTTTGTATGCATAGTACAGGGTAGTCAATGTGAGTCATATGAATTTAGGGTTATGCTTTCAAAAACTTGGGAAGTTCTGTGCTGAAGTTCAATTGGCCAGAGTTGTAACTTCTGCAGTCTATGATGCTGGCATCTGACAGAGCTTACATCACTCAGGGTGAGGGAGACATTGGCACTAACTTTAGAAGCATAGGCAACTGCTTGATATGCAAAACTAGGCACAGTCTTTCAGGGGAAGCTTTGGGCAGAGCTACTTCAATCTAGTTTCAAAGGCTATATACATTTGAATACAATAGGTAGCACTACTGTTTTGTGGGAGAGGTTATCACCAGCATGCTGACTTCTCTAGAAAATATTCCAACAGCCATTATAGTGGTGTGACTGAGGACAAAAATTCACCCCCCTTTTCTTTTCTGCCCTGCTAGTAAGCTCTCTCTTCTGAAGACAATTAATAGTAAAAAGGACCAAAAAAAAGGAGGGTCTTTGCTTAACTAAATAGTGGCAACTGTTTAATTCTGAAATATTCAGCACATCACTTTGTACAAAAACAGAGCCAAAAATAGTGTTTTCAAATGCACAGAGAGGTGGCAGTGGAGCTAACGCAGGGCACACTCCTCTGCCAAGGAGCATTTGGTTCTTGACAACTTCATGTGAATGAGGACCTGAGCTCTGTGTTTCATTAGTTTGTCATTTTGGGGATTCAGCATTTCAAGACCTAACATTCGAATTCAGAAATACTATCTCCGACCACCTCTCAACTATCTACACTATCAGCATACTCCAGAGGAACAGGCAGCCCTTCCTTAAACTGACCTCAGCCCAGCCTGACCTACCTTTAAAGCACTGCAATTATTTTGTACAAAGGGGAGAAAACTCCCGCCCTTGCGGCTTTCCCATTTATCTGGTGAAACCACTGCTTTTATTTCCATCCTGAATCTAATAACACTTGTGGCTCCCAGCACCCACGACAACTGGAGAAATGCTGTCCCATAAAATTAAAAAGAATATAAAAGTGAATTGTATTATCCCTTTGATTTATATCTTTGACACTGAAAAAAAATCTACCAACTACCATTTATAAAGTCTTTGAAAGCAAAGGGTTCGTCCAAATGGCAGTTTACAGAACACCGAGAGCAGAATGGGCCACTAGCAATTTATTCTATTGTTGTGAGTTGTAATCTCAAAATCTTGTATTTACAGACCTTCAAATCCTTTAGCAAAACATTTTTTCTTACCAATGGACTACCCAGCTACAGACCTTACATACACTTGTCATCTCTTTTTAGTCAAAATAGAATCTTTCTAGTGTTATAATATTGCATGTGAAGCCGGTACAGGGCAGCCAGAATAACCACAGAAAGAAAGCCCCACTGCTGCCTCACTTCCCCATCATCCCTTCCTTCCATTCTGGCACTGGCTGCTGCTGTAGGGTGGCATACCCAGGCTGCCTGCCTCGTGTGCCGGAGGGCACTTTGACAACAGACTCCACAGATCCCACCTGTCCTTGCAAAGTGAAAGAAACAAAGACACTCTTGCCACATTTTCTAATCTGGAAAGTTAAATTAGTCCTTACTTTTGTCAGCCCCGAAAGCCTGAACCTATCAGCTCCCTAAAATAAATGAGGCTTGAATGCTCAAAGTGCCTCTCAAAAGTGACCATCTTGTTTTTAAAAGGAGGTAGCTAACAAAACATAAAGTTGGCAGCAGTTGGCATTCTTGATATTTTAATTACAGAAGAATTAAACTTGAGAATACTTTCTTTCTCAGGAAAAGCAGAGTTCCGGCATAAATATTTCCTACATTGATCTGAAAACTTTCAAAATACACTTTAGAAATCCAATGACACATTCAAAATTTCAAAATATTCTTTGATACATAAGCTCAGGTCCTTTGGAAATCTAAGAATCTGATTTCAAAGGTAAGGTGCCAAAATCAGTGTTGTTATGATGCTTTTAAACAATGCCTAATATTTAAGCAATACAGTAACACTGCTTTAAACTCCCTTGCAGTGATCTAGAAGTTCTTATGGTCAGCATTAGGGCTAGATGTTGTTTTTTCCAAGATGGCACTTGTTTCACTTAGGTACCTGTCAACAAACACAGAACTGAACTTCAGACTTAAGCATGTTACAAGCAGATCCAGGAAATTATGCAGGAGACAATGACACTGCTTAATCGGACAGATTTCTGATGCCCACTTGTAGAGAGCAGTCACCATCACGTGTGTGTGACTCCAGTTCTCTGAATGTAAGCCTGCTCTGTGTTTGCAGGACAGACTCTTCTACTCCTAGAGTATGCAGGTAGGATGCCCTTCTGGTCAGGACTGAGCGATGGGGAGCCACCAGCTCCACAGCAAAGCTGCCTCTGCAAGGAAGCCATTCTAGGGGTTATCTAGCTTGAGGTTCCCAACAGGAGTCAATGACGTCTGTCCTTGAGCTCTTTCCAAAGCGTTATCTCACGTCTCATAACCCACCCTAAAGCAATAAAGAGAGCATCCATTCTCTAAGAGCATCACCTACATACAAGTGGACTTGGGTTAAGAAAAAAGTCAATTGTCATAAATGACAGATTTTAGTGCTGTATGACCCTTATGGCTAAAAATAAACCACAAGTTGGTGCTATAAGCTCAAAGGTAAAAAATGAATACTGGCTGGCTATGCACTCAACATTCAACACCAATCACTGACAGTCTTAAATGAATATCTAACACATAACCTCAAGATGACTACATTTATTTATCCTGTAGATAGGGCAGCTCTAAATGGTGAGAGTCATCATTTGTTTACATTATAACGTGACTGTTTCCAAGTTTACTTAGGGAGGAAAAGTGACTATAGAAAATACTTGAAATTTGCCAATGAGGTTGCAGGTTCTAACAATCCACATCATTTTAAATCTTTCAACTGCTTCATAATTCAAACAAATTGTATCAATGAATTAACATTTAATCACTTTACATGAAAACCAAATTAAAATCACATCTGAATGATTGACTCGTAGTATGATTGTTCCATTTGATGCACTGCACATCCAAGTACTTCTGAGAGGTGCACGTTGTTCCATCATGAATGCCCTCGAAGGATAATGAAACCAGCAAACGGCATACACGCATTCTGTGTCCATATAGGTGCTTCCAAGAGCAAAGCCTCATCTCTTCAGCCACTGTTAACTTAATGGTAAGACTGCAAAAGAGAAAAGAAAGTCAACTTCTAGATTTTATAAATAGTTTATTAACTCCTTACTGAAGCTTAAATTTACTGCTTAAGCATCCAAACAGCACGTCATCTCATTTATTCTGGCAGACTTAGCAAAGAACACATTTTGGAGGCTATATACACAGAGGAAGCATGTAGCTGCACCACGGAAGCGAGCAGTTTGAGGCACTTTAACTCCTTCTTGCCTTTACAGCTGAGGGGCATGCTGTGAGGAGCTAGCTAGTGTGTTAGGAGCTAACAGATCTCCCCACTCATGCAGCAGCTCAAGGCTGCATTATGGATAGTCACGTAGCCTCCAAAGGAAAAGCGGGGTGCTTTTCTATTCAATCACATGCCCAAGACAAACTCACATTGAGAAGTCAATCCTACTTCAACTTGGCCGAGGTAAAGCACAAAGCATCACACACCAATCACCCTGGATTCTCAACCTCAAGACTCAGCCAAACAGAGCCTGATGGTATTTGTGCTGTAACACTACCACAAAATACTAAAACGCCGCATCAGGCAATGCCGAGCACCTCCGAGTTCACCTCAAGGACCCCACCAGGGTGTTGTTTATCACACCACAAGCTGCTTGGGATCTTTAGGAAGCTTTTGTCCTTGTTTTCAGTACTAGCAATGCTTAGCTTATGCTTTACACTGTGCAAGGCTTTATATGAGGCTATACAATTCACTTTTATATACATACCTCCCACCTCTGACACATTCTCAATCTGTTAGTTACGTGTACGACTATCTGTGTGCTGAGCAACAAACTGAACACTCACGTGGGGGCCACCAGGCATCGGCGGAGCACCAGAAGGTCCTGAAGGCACTTGGAAAGGATTACTGGGCGAAGGATACAGTCCTGGTGTAGGATACGATCCTGCAGGGGCAGTATATGGTGCTGGTGGTCCCCAAGCTCCCGGCGGAACAGTACCCCACGGAACAGGTGGTGCTGCTCCTGGGGCCTGGGGAGGAGGAGCGGGATATGGCCCTGGGGACGGATATGGCATACTAGGGGTAGGATACTGCCCTCCCATGCCAGGTGCCCAGGGTCCAGAAGACATGGATCCCCATGGACCTAAAGGACCAGCTGCGGCTGGATCTGTGGGCGCACCATATGGTCTAGGTATCTCTGGAAAGGGCATATTTGGTGTAGGATATGGCCCCGTGGGCCCAGGGCCTGGCACAGTTGGGGCTGGATATGGACCACCAGGTGGGGGACATGATGGTCCAGAAGGAGGAAAGGGGGCTGGGGGCCCGGGAGGTGGTCCAGTGGGAGGCACAGCGGGATACATTCCTGTTGGTGCTGGTCCGAAAGGCACAGTGGAGGGTGTTGCACTTGGCGGGAGTCCCGATGGCACAGAAGGCGGAGCACTCGGGGTGTTCCAGGGACTGGAGCCCGGCCAGCCCTGCGCCTGGGCAGACTTGGTGCTGCTCACAGAGGTTTTGGCAGGAGAGTGCTCAGGCAGTGCGTCTGCCAACTGCAATACAAAGCAGACATGTCTTATCTCCTTGATTCAGGGACAAGCCAGCCACACCAAGTACAACACCACAGTTAACTCAGGGACCATAAACCACAACAACATCTGCACAAGCTAAGCCTGCCATTTTAAAAAGCCACTTCACTTGATATAAAGCTTGAGGTTTTATCAAGACTACCAACTTCAATGCAAATTCCTCAGAGAATCAAGTCTTCCAAATACAAGTAAACATGCTGTATTTCACTTGTGTACTGTATTAATAGGAAAAACAATAATCAAAAGGATCAAATTTAGGGTCGAGAGCTGGACTTCAATCTTGGCTTTACTCCAAACAAAACACAGTCTCTGAGCCTCAATTTTGTTTTTAAAAAGTTCCTAGCAAGGGCCCGGCACAATAGCGTAGCAGTTAAAGTCCTTGCCTTGAATACGTCAGCGTCACATATGGACACTGGTTCTAATCCCAGCGGCCACACTTCCCATCCAGCTTTCAGTCTGTGGCCTGGGAAAGCAGTTGAAGACACCCCAAAGCCTTGGGACCCTGCACCCGCGTGGGTGATCCAGAAGAGCTCCTGGTTCCTGGCTTCAGATTGGCTCAGCTCCAGCCTTGCGGCTGCTTGAGACATGAATCAAAGCACAGAAGATCTTCCTCTCTGTCTCTCCTCCTCTCTGAATATCCTTCTTTCCATTTAAAAAAAAAATCTTAATAAAAAAAATTTAAAAATAAATAAAAGTTCCTAGCGGCCAGCACTGTGAAGCAGGTTACGGTTCCCACAAGCCCGGTCCCCTGCCACCCGCACGGGAGACGCAGCTGCAGGTCCAGGCTCCTGGCTTTGGGGTGGTGCAGCTCTGCCTGCTGTGGACACCTGGGGAGTGAACCAGCATAGGCAGGACCATTTCTCTTCCTCATTAATGCAACCCTGCTTTTCAAATAAACAACTATTTTTAAGAAGTTTTAAGCAAATAGACTACACTTAGTGCCTACTATAATTTCAATAAATGTTGCTCACTAATGCCTAGGGTAAACAAAAACAATGAAAGCAACACTTAGAAGTTTCCATTTAAGGATTCATAAACACTAATGGATATTCTCAATTATGTAATATCAGAGTAAATCAATGCAAATAACCTATCAAAATCATGACCAAAAAACCCAAGAATCACAAAAATCTCAGCTTTCCTATGGCTTACAGGATTACACTGCCTTTTCTGAGAACAAACACTTGTCAAAAATGAATGTATCAGGGGCCCAGCGCGGTGGCGCAAGTGGTTAAGGTCCTCGCCTTGCCTTGCATGCCCGGGATCCCATATGGGCGCTGGTTCTAATCCCCAGCAGCCCCGCTTCCCTTCCAGCTCCCTGCCTGTGGCCCAGGAAAGCAGACCAGGACGGCCCAAAGCTTTGGGACCCTGCACCCGTGTGGGAGACCTGGAAGAGGCTCCTGGCTTCGGATCGGCATAGCATCGGCCCGTTGTGCTCACTTGGGGAGTGAATCATCGGACGGAAGATCTTCCTCTCTGTCTCTCCTCTCTGTATATCCGCCTTCCCAATAAAAAAATAAATCTTTTTTTAAAAAAATGAATGTATCAACTTACCGAAAACTCTTCAGACATCTTTCTGAAAGAAAAAAAGAAACATTCAGAAATCACTGTTCATCATTTTCTGTGTTTCTATGTTCTGTACGTACGCTGTTTGACTTCTCAGGAACCTTCAGCGGTTATGTGCTTTCCTTTATTTAGGGAAATTTCCCATAACAGCTCATTACAGCACTACCAGCGCCAGTCCCTTCAACAGTTGCATATCACACAAGAACCCGAAGTTTAGTTTACACACTCTTACTGTGACAGTCCACATGCTGTAAACAACCATACAGGGAACATTTCTGTACAATCCCCTCTGTATGTGAAATCATGTCATCAGGAAAAAAAAAAGCACCAGAAGTAGATTTAAGAGTCAAAAGATGATGTGTGGGGCCCAGCGGCGTGGCCTAGTGGCTAAAGTCCTCACCCTGAACATACCAGGATCTCATATGAGTGCCAGTTCTAAGCCCGGCAGCCCCACTTCCCATCCAGCTCCCTGCTTGTGGTCTGGGAAAGCAGTCGAGGATGGCCCAAAGCTTTGGGACCCTGCACCTGCATGGGAGACCTGGAGGAGGCTCCTGGCTCCCAGCTTCGGATCAGCGCAGCATGGGATGTTGTGCTCACTTGAGGAGTGAATCATTGGACAGAAGATCTTCTTCTCTGTCTCTCCTCCTCTCTGTATATCTGACTTTCCAATAAAAATAAAATAAAAATCAATCTTAAAGAAAAAAAAAAGATGACGTGTGCCTAAAATGCATCTGAAAACCCAACACCAGTTGAAACAGTCACCCTTTTTTCCTAACTTCTTTTACCAGGGATATTGCTTTATTTATAAATTACATTAAATTATGATTTAAAAAAAACTGGCAAATTGGGTCCAACACATAGTGGGTTATGCCATGCCTGCCAAGCGAGCACCTTACAAGAGCAGCTGCCCCAGGTCATGGCTGCTCCACTTCTGATTAAGCTCCCTTCAGTGCCACTGGGAAAGCTGTAGATGGTAGTCAAAGCGCTTGGGCACCTGCTGCCTGGCCATCCCCCAGCCACTGTGACCCTCTGGAGAGTGAATCAGCAAACCCAAGATTTCTTTCTCTGTCACTCTGTCTTTCAAATGAATACACGTTTGTCTAAAATTGTAACTTTAGGGCCCAGAGTGATAGAAAAGTGGTTAAAGTCCTCGCCTTGCATGCGCCGGGATCCCATAAGGTCGCTGGTTCTAATCCCGGCAGCACTGCTTCCCATCCAGCTCCCAGACTGTGGCCTAGGAAAGCAGTTGAGGACACCCCAAAGCCTTGGGACCCTGCACCCTCGTGGGAGACCTGGAAGAGCTCCTGGCTTCAGATTGGCTCAGCTCCAGGCATTGCGGTCACTTGAGGAGTAAACCATGGAACGGAAGATCTTCCTCTCTGTCTCTCCTCCTCTCTGGATATCCGCCTTTCCAATAAAAATAAATAAATCTTCTAAAAAAAATAAAAATAAAATTGTAACTAAGTGGAAGCTAGAACATCTTTTAAACGGAACAGTCCGAGGCTATGGTTAGTACAGAAGCTTATCCTCAGTGTGAAGATGCTAAACGCTGGAGCCTTGTAGGAAATCTTCAGGTCTTGGGCATGCTGTCATGAGAATGCACTAAGTTATTACTTTTTAATATATATAGTATAGTTTATTTTTAAGATTTACTTGAAAGATATATCCCAATAAAAACAAGTAAATCTTGAAAGACAGATTTCCGGAGGAGATAGACCTCAATCCGCCAATTCACCCCCAAGTGGCTGCAACAGCTGGAGCTGAGCCCATCTGAAGCCAGGAGCCTCTTCCAGGTCTCCCACAATGGTCCAGGGTCCCAAGGGTTTGGGCCATCCCCAACTGACTTCCCAGGCCACAGGCAGGGAGCAGGATGGGAAGTGGAATTGCTGGGACATGAACTGGAGCTCATACGGATGTCAGTGTGTGTACAAGGTGAGGATTTTAGCCACAAGGCTACTGTGTCGGGCCCAAATTCTGGTTTTATTACAAGTGTTAAATTTCACAGTCAAAATTCTTCAATCTTTTACTTTGTGTCCTCTGAATTTTGAGATACATTCACAAAGAACTGCTCTGAGATTTAAACTGTTTTGAATTTACAGTATTTTTATGTTTTAACATCTTACTTAAAATCTTTCAATTCTTCCAAACAATAATTATTGAATAATCAACCTAACTAGTCACAAGGAACTGGACAAGGTATCCTGGCCATTGCACTGCGACGCACAGGACAATTCTCTGACTGCACATCATGGGGCAGGCACTGTAGCCCATTTTCAATGACCGGTTCCAGAGCTCCAGGACTGAAGTGTTTATATCACTTAAGGTTTACAGCTAGAGAAAAGGATTTTAACAAGTCAGTATGTCTGAGGCCACAAAGCTAGCGACAAGCAGAGGTTCCCATCCAGGCTCAGGACCTGGCACTGCAGCACAGTGGTTAAAACCAACCCACAGATCCACAAGAGCTGCGAGTCAGGGGTCAGGACAGCCATTGCTTCCAACCCACTCTACCCACATGCCTGGGAAGCGGGTGGATCAGAGCCCCTGCCTCCCATGGGAAGACCCGGATGGACTTCTGGGCTCCTGGCTTCACCTCAGTCAAGCCCCTGGCTATTGCAGCCATTTGGGGAGGGGACCAGCAGGTGCAAGATCAATGTTCTCCTGCTCTGCCTTTCAAATAAACAAATCCTAATCTTAAACAGACAAAAACAAAAACGGGACAGTCAGGCTGGTCAGGCTGGAGAGCCTGGCCTTCCAAGCAGGGTCTGCATCGTTCCCTGCGGGAGTATTCTGAGGCTCTTCACTGCGCTGCATGATAACAGTTCAATCCAATTCCAGCAGAAAGAGGCAGAGGCAGAGAAACATGTTTGATCCACTGCTTTGCTCCCCAGATGACCACAAGGGCCAGCAGAGCTGAGCCAGCCAGGGGCTAGGGGCCAGGAGCTTGGGCACAAAATCTTGGGCCATCTTCTGCTGCTTCATCTAAGCCATCAGGAGGGTGCCAGAATAAAAGTGGAGCAGCCATGACTCAAACCAGCCTCCATTCAGGGTGCCAGCCTTACAAAGATTGAACTTCATAATGTATCAAGCAAATTTTATTACCAGTTACTTCACTTTTTCTGAAGACTTTCATTTCTTCCCCCCAGACAGTTTTGTATAAAGAAAAAAATGAGGGTGATGGTGCTGTGGCGTAGTAAGCTAAGCTTCTGCCTGTGGTGCCAACAGCCCATACAGGCACCATTTCAAGTCCCAACTGTTCCACTTTTAAGATTCAGTTTATTTCTATTACAAAGTCAGATATACAGAAAGGAGGAGAGATAGAGAGGAAAATCTATCCGTTGATTCACTCCCCAGCGGCTGCAATGGCTGGAGCTGTGTCAATCCAAAACCAGGAACATGGAGCCTCTTCTGGGTCTCCCACATGAGTGCAGGATCCCAAGGCTTTGAACCATCTTTGACTGCTTTCCCAGGCCACAGCAGGGAGCTGGATGAAAAGCAGGGCTGCCAAGATTAGAACCGAGCCCATATGGGATCCTGGCATGCGCAAGGTAAGGACTTTAGCTGCTAGGCTACCGCACGGGCATTTCCGCCTGTGCCAATGGTTCCACTTCTAATCCAGCTCTCTGCTTCTGGCCTGAGAAAGCAGTGGGAGATGGCTCAAGTCCTTGGGCCCTTGCACTCATGTGGGAGAGCGAGAAGAAGCTCCTGCCTTCAGCTCAGCCCAGCTCCGGCCACAGCAGCCATCTGGGGAGCGACCCAGCAGATGCAGCCCTGTCCCTCCTTTCGGCAACTCTGCCCTTCCCCCGCAGAAGGCAGATACACAGCTGCATTTCCGTGAGGAAGATGAAATTACTGACATTTTTAAAAAGTGATTCAAAATAACTGGATTATGCTAATTAAGATGAGCTCAACTGCAATATTTTTTAAAATTTTTATAGAAAAGTCAGATATACAGAGAGGAGGAGAGATAGAGAGGAAGATCTTCCATCCAATGATTCACTCCCCAAGTGAGTGCAATGGCCGGTTCTGTGCTGATTCGAAGCCGGAAGCCAGGAGCCTCTTCCGGGTCTCCCAGGTGGGTGCAGGGTCCCAAAGCATTGGGCTGTCCTGGACTGCTTTCCCAGGCCACAAGCAGGGAGCTGGATGGGAAGTGGAGCTGCTGGGATTAGAACCAGTGCCCATATGGGATCCCGGCGTGTTCAAAGCGAGGACTTTGGCCACTAGGCCACGCCGCTGGGCCCTCAACTGTAATCTTGAACTTAAAAAAGGTAGTAAAATCAAAATTTTTTCCCCGTTAGCTTTTTTACTTCTAAAATTTCTATTACCATTTAATGGCACTATCTACCAAACATAATAATAATAAAACATTATTTTCTGAGCAGTAAAACTAACAACTCCAAACCAGTAACAATTTCTTCTGACATTATCACAGGAAAGTAGAACAAAAGGTTCTACTAATCCTGAGACATTTAAAGTAAACATGATACTTCAGTCAGGAAGTGTAAGCAACTGAACTCCACCAATGCCCAGTGCTGACAAGCTGTCCTTCACAAGGCCAGCCACCGCCGCCAGGGAGACACTGGGTTAGACCACAGCTGTGAGACAGGCACATCCATCCTTCCACGTCTCTGGAAAACGCAAGCTTCTAAACAGGAATCCATTGCGCCAACTGTGAAACTTACAACACTTAGCTATCTTTACAGGTGATTAAGAATAACAATTATCTAGAAATGCAAAACACATGTTAAGATGTTTATCAAAAAGCAGGGTGTGGGGAGCCAAGGGTAAGTTAAGCCTCAGCTTGCAGTGCAGGCATCCCAGATGGATACTGGTTCAAGTCCCAGCTGCTCCACATTTAGTACAGCTTCCCGCTGTGGAAAGCATAGCAAGATGGGTTAGTCCTCAGGCCCCAGCACCCAAGCAGAAGACCTGGAAGAAGCTCCAGGCTCCTGGCTTCAGATGTGGCTATTTGGGGAGTGAACCAACAGATGGAAGATCTTTCTGCATGTCTCCTTGTCGCCATAAATCTGCTTTTCAAATAAAAGTAAACAGATCTTTAAAATAATTAAAATAGAAAAAAGCAACAAGGAATATCAGAACTTTTGATTTCTCTAGTACTAAGATGTGGGGTCAAGGATGGCCTGTACTTCACGGAAACTATAAATCTGAATAAGGGTATGTACTTTCTTATAAACGCTCATTTGTAAGGTGATATGCAATGTGTTTTAGATGCAAACAACCATCCCAGGCATGAGGCTAGACTATATGATCAGCAGTGGGATTGCCCACAAACTCCCGGGAAGTGGTGTCTTCTGGCCAGAAGAATGAGGAAATCAGCAGGGAGGAGAGAGGGGAAGGGCGGCTTCTAAGGTGAGGAGGAGCCAGGCCTGAGAATCAGTGGGAAGGGCCCCCCCGCGCAGAGGCCGGGGTCTGGGACTACAGAGACCTCAGTGCTCAGCAACTACCTGAAGGCACCTGGTCCTCCGAGCTCGCAGACGGGCCAGGCCCGCTGTGTGCAGATGAGCGCCACAACAGTTCTGGGACGGCAGCAGGTGGGCACCACACACACACTCTTCCTCTCCCTTTGTGAGTGGAGAGAAAGGCCAGTGGCTGAGCTGCCATACAGCTGCCTGGCTAGGCCCGCAGATCCTCCCTGGCTGGCAGCACTCTGGGTAAGCTGCCTTCCCGGCCTCACAGGTGAGGGAGGGCAGGAGTGGCACCCAGCTCACAGACTGGCTCTGGGATGTAAACAAATCATGCCTATGACTCCTTGGTAAACAGGAAACACTCCACAAGAATCAGCTGCTAGCATCAGTACAGGTGCACAACCCCGACTCTGCTTCTCAAAACACAAGTCACTGGAAACGAAACTTTCCCAGCTTTGGTACAAAGCTTAATCGGTGGCAACATCTGAGGTTAGTTATGGCTTCTGTGAACCCCGGTCGAAGGAATATCCACACCCACAGCGGCACAGCCATTCACGTGCCTCCCAGCCCTCCTCCCGGGCTCCGTCACCTCCGTCTATACAATGAGATCTCTAAATCAAGTGCAAAGATTGCTGAATGCCGCAAGACACCTGTTCCAAGGCTCCTGGTCGGAAAGCAGGTGGGGCGTCACCCACTCCTCCCAGAGAGAAGAGAAGCGCGTTCTCACACTCCCGAGTCCACGCAGTGTCCGGGGGGCTTTTGTGCAGGAGTTGAGACACCTGCGGCCACCACATTGTCCATCCCTCCTGTCCCTCACCGCCAGCCCCACCCCGAGACTGAGCAAAGCAGCCCTGAGCGCTGGCCGAGGCCACCTCTGCGCGCGACGCGGGTTCGCGTGACAGACACCGGTGCAGGCGGTGGGCACGTCCCAGGCAGTGAGGCGACCGTGTCGTGTCGCTCCCGTGGGCCTGCTGTGATGCTCCAACCCTGTGTGGGGAACGGTCCCCCCAGGCAGAAGGTGCGCTCCCCAAGGGGGCCACGAGGGTCCCCCGGGTCAGCGCCAGCACGGCCTCTCGAGGACGCAACGCGCGCCCCCCGATCCCCGGAGCTGGCCTCGCGCTCCCGCGCCCACCGGACATTAATGAATGGCGCCGGGAGGCCGAGGAGGAACAGGCTCACTGACCTTTGCGGGGCCGATCGAACAAAGGGAGTACGGATCGACCGCAGCGACCCGGCCTCCGAGTGGGTCGCGCGGGCCGGGGATCGAGGGGGGAAGGGCGGCCCCGCTGCCGCCCCGCCCCCAGCCGAGCCTGACGTCAGGGTGCCCCTATACCTTCTCTCCCGGCGGGCGGGGGACACCCCGAAAACGGCGAGGCAGGCGGCCGGGACGCGCGCTTAGCTCGGGTCCTCGCGGAGGGTGGGGGGACCGCGGCCCAACAAGCCCCGACGGCGCCTCGAGGCAAGCCCGTCACGGCGCGCGCCTCCCGCTCGGGAGCAGCCTCACCTGGCCGGATTGGAGCGCACAGCAGAGTCTAGAGTCGACGATGGGCCCGAGGGACCTGAAGGCTGACCAACGGAGCTCAGCCGGACTGAACACAGCGGCGGCGGCGGGAGCAGCGGCGGCACCAGCAGAGCGCGAGGCTCCTCCTGGCGCCGGAAGAGGAAGCGCGAGCGCGAGCGCGCCGCCCCCGCCCCCGCCCCGCACGCCGTTCCCGCCGGCGCTGGCCCCGGCGCGCCCCCTGCAGGCCGCCCGGGGCACTGCGGAGGGGGAGCCGCGGGGACCCCAGGCCAGGGGACCCCGAGCCCGGCCAGTGTTCCGCAGGTAGACGGCGGGAAAACTGCCCGCGTGGACCGGACCAGAGCAATCGGGGCACACGCCCGCGCGGAAAGGGCTAACAGGTTGCCCCGAGAGCAGGTTCTGCATTCCCGAAACGCAGCGGCTTTTAATCAAGCCTGGGATTTGCTTCGTGTGGGAGGAAAACAGATGAAGGATTGCAGCACATCAGGGCAAGACTGGGGAAAACTCTATAATGAAGCCGTTTACACGTGACACATTGATATTTGTTACAAGATCATGTGTCTTCGCTGATACATACATACATACATATACATATATGCATATATATACACACACACATATATATGTATTTTTTGAAAGCGAAAAAGGGAGAGCATCTTCCACCCCCTGGCTCACTCGCTAAATGGCCACAACAGCAGGGGCAGGGCCAGGGAACTCCTGGAACTCCATCTGGGTCTTCCAAGTGTCACGACAGTCCTTAGCTTTCTCAGGAACATTAGCAGAGGGCTGGATCAGAAAAAGAAGGGCAGGAACTGGAACCACTGCTCACAGGAGATGCCTGCACGACAGGCGACAGGCGGCAGCTGAACTTGCTGGTCCACGCCACGAGCCCCTGTAGATTTTCTGCAATGTGTCCGCCCCCTTTCATTCCTGAACACACACACACACACACACACACACACTCTCTCTCTCTCTCTCTCTCTCTCTCTCTCTCTCTCTCTCAAGTATTTACCTTGTTCAGCCAGATGACAGACACAGGTTCCAGCCGTTAAAGAGCCTGCTAACTAGTAAAGGTGTCTTAATCTTTTTTTGCAAATACATACATTATGGGACACGCATATATATGGAATTATTTATTTGAAAGAGTGGTATAGAGCGACAGGGAGGCCTTCCATTGCTGATTCATTCCCCCAAAGCCAGAAACTTCTTCCGGGTCTCCCATGTGGGTGAAAGGTGCAAGGCTTTGGGCCGTCCTCTGCTCGCTTCCCAGACCCCAAGCAGAGAACTGGGTGGGAGGTGAAGTAACTGGGACACAAACCAGCACCCATATGGGATTCTGACACTTGAAGGGAGAGGATTGGCCAATTGAGCCATTGCACTGTCCTCCCCCCCCCCATTGGGATTTGAGGCAAAGTGAAACACCAGTGATTGCAGGGTTTTTTCCCCAAGACCTACTGTTTTATTATTTGAATGGAGCAGCCAGGACTAGAACCAGCACCCATATGGGATGCCAACACTGCAAGGCAGAGAGCCAGCCTGATGAGCTACCACTTAGCCCCAGGAATTATGTTTTTGTCTTGATGTAAATTTTATTTTGTTCATGGTAGCTGTTTCATACATGAACTTATTTTACATACTTGAAATATTAAGCTCCTCATTTAGTTTTTTTATTTTAAAAAAAAAGCTCATACCCAGGTAAGTCACCTCACCGTCTTCCCCAGTGCTCAGGCTCCATGACGCTAAGGGACAGTCCCCAGCGTCCCCTGCCTGCAGCAGGCCAGTCTGGAGCACTGTGGGATTCCGAGGCCACTTGGCCCCAGAGGACTTGGCCACATGCAGCCCTGCCTGGCTCATTTCTCATTTGGCCTTTTTCAGGATGTTCTGCAATCCAAGGCCCACCCTAGCCAATCCCTTCGTGAACGTGTTCTTAGTATCAGACTGTAAGGTCTGGAGACAGGCCCTCTTCCCTGTTAGCCTCCAGAGGTGACTCCCTCCAGATCTAATCTGTAGACAGCAGCTGCTTCCGGAAGACCCACACTGACACACGAAGCCTAACGGTGTCATAATACATCCAAATGTGTCAGCATGCCGATGTTTCAGTTTCTCCTTTTCAAAGTTGGTATGTATAATGCCAATATATACGTTTTCAAAATAAGACAAGAGCTTTGGATTTTACATATGAAGTTTAATGAAGAAGAAGTAAAAATTTTCTGACCAACTTATCTGAATTCACATCCAAAAAAAAAAATTCAACTTCAGGATTAGAAATAACAAATGGAATCATTTATTTGCTTTGGGTAAGTAGTGGGTCATACAAGACTGGCAACAATTATAGCTACTACTTAAGCTATTTATTCAGGCATATATCCCCCATATTTGCTTAATAGTGAATTTTTTTCTCTAATAATAAAGCATAATTAGAGTAGATCTTCAGTATTACCATGGCTATCAAGTCTGAAAGTTTATATTTGACTACAACCATGGTAGAAGTGATCATCTCTATTTCCTACAAATTGTAGCAATTTTTAAAGAAAAAAAATTTAATTTTTTTGAAAGTCAAAGTTACAGAGAGGGAGCGGAATGGACAGAGAATCAATCTTCCATCTATCTGCTGGTTCACTCACCAGATGGTCACAAGTGGGCTGTGCCAGACCTGAGCCAGGAGCCTGAGGCCTCTTTCAGGTGTCCCACTTCGGGACAAGGCTACCCTTCATTACTCTCCCAGGTGCATTAGCAGGGAGCTGGACTGGAAGTAGAGCAGCCAGGATGCAAACCAAACCTGTGCCCATAGGAGAGGCCGGCACGGCAGGTGGCAGTTTACCTGTATGCTGCAGCACTGATCCCAGAAGCACTTTTATGTAAGACTTATTTTATTTATTTGACAGGCAGAGTTACAAAGAAGAGAACACAGAAAAAGCGTTATTGTCCATCTAATCATTCATTCTCCACATGGTTGCAATGGCTAAGAGTGGGGTCAAGCCAAAAGCAGAAGCCTGGAACTCCATCTGGGTCTTCCTTACGAGTGGTAGGGACCCATGTTCTTGGGCTGTCTTTCACTGCTTTGCCAGGCTCATTAGCAGGGAGTTGGGATCAGAACTGGAGCAGCAGGGACTTGAATCGGCACCCATATGGGATGCTGGTATTGTAAGTGGCAGTCTGACCTGCTATACCTCAACACTGACCCCAAATGGATTTTTTTTTTTTTTAAGGAAAGTGAGGCAAAATGTCAATTTTCTACAGACTCTAAAATGTTAGGAAGAAATGGCAAATGTTCATCTAGTTGTAGAACTACACTACAAATTCAAATTGTGTTGTTTTTGTCTGTCACCACGAGTGGATGTGATAGCACAGGGTCTACCATGCAGGATATTCTGAAAACCTATCATCGTGTTAGTCCTTGGGGTATATGTCCATTACTTTCCAGTGTGCTCCAAGGGTCACCTCTCACCGAAGGATTAACCTTCGGGAAGTCAAGCTTCTGGGAAACGGAGAGCAAAACTAAACAATGCACACTGTATCTCACTATCAAGTGCAAAACCTTGCAAGTGATGGTACCAGCCCTTCCGTCCTATCCTTCAAGAACTAATGATCTCAACGACTGAGCCACATCAACGTGGTCTTTTACACACTAGTGACTGAAGAAAAATGGGTTAAAGATTTAAGGTTAAGAAAAAGAAGGGAGAAGCCGAAGCACTCCTGGGAAGGTGGGTGCTTAATGACAGCTCAAAAAACCTCTCAGGAAATCACTCATGCCGGAAGAGAGGAATGAACAAGATGGCTGTGGTGAGGGAAGCCTTTCTCTTGAACTTTCTTGGAGCACTCTTATTCCAAGGAGATGCCATTTCCTCCAGAAACCCAACAAGCAAATCCCTTGAGCACTCTTCTGAAACTATTTTCATATCCAATACTCCTGACCGATGCACTTCCGCTTGATAGCCATTGCTTTGATTGTCTTTTGTTGTCAGGGTCATACTGGTTAAGCCAAATTTTACCTGCAGTTAGAACTCTTTGAAGAAGGATGATCTCGAACCTACTTGTTTGAAATTTCCACGGATAGTTCTAGTGTTGTATGCAGCTGATTTGGCTACGAGACTTTTGGTACATGTCAAGTGGAAAGTTTGCTCCACTTTAAAAATTTTCATTCAGGGTTATATAGTCCAAACATTTGAAATATCCACGGTGTTGCCTCCTTCTGCTGTTACTTGCTGGTCCCTTTCATCATGGCAGGCATTAGATTACTTTTTATCCTCACAAATGGACGTGGATGGGGTGCAACTGCGGAGTTCATCTTCGACGTCGTCTCGTCCCTCCTTGAAGCGATTGATCCACTTGTAGACTGCTGATTTCTCTGGGGCGTTGTCCCCATACACCTTCCGTAAAGCATCCATGACTTCATCATTCTTCCACCCAAGCTTCACCATGAACTTGATGTTTCTTCTCATTTCAATCTTAACAGAATTCATGTTGCTCTGACGGAGTTTCAAACCGATGTTTTATCCTTTCACTGTCTCAAATCAGAGCCTGTTCAGACATGTGGTAACAAGTTAGTACAAGTTATTTTGATGTAAGACAAATCTTAAAACACATATATAATTTTTCACAGTATACATAATCCATGCACTGTTTTTTTCAGATATGTGTAATACACAGTAAGTTAGTCACAAAACAATATGAAACATAAATTATTCCACAAACTAATATTAAATTGATTCACAAGTCTGGATTCAAATTTTAAAATCAAAGTACGGAAGGCACAGAAGTTACTAGAATTTTACAAAGTAATGAGGGTTTAACTAAAGAAACCAGAAACAAGTCCCTTCCTGTTCTACAGCGCTGCCTTAATACAGTAACCTTCTCTCTATGCCTGGAATAAACAGAGTTCCTATTAATTGGAAACATTCAAATTTGTTCTTTGGGGATACTCTTGAAAAATAGAATTGCATATCAACCATTTTAAATTCCATTTGATTTATTTGAAAAAACTGAGAGATCCTCCATCCACTAGTCCATTCTAAACATCTGTAACAGCTGAGGCTGGTGGCCAGGTCAAAACCAAGAGCCTAGATCTCTATGGATCCAGAAGCCATCTTCTGCTGCTTCCCAGGCACATCGGCAGGGAGCTGGATGGAAAGTGGAGCAGCTGGGACTTGAACCAGTGCTCATGTGGGATGCCAACATTGCAGAGGCTGCAGCTTAACCCACTGTGCCTACGGAACATATGTCTCTCAATATGACCAATGTTGCAGAATATAGAGACATTTTCACTTTATGAAAAAATTTTTGTAAAATACCTAAATTATGCTAACTAATGAGACAAGGAAAATATAATCTTGGACTCTGTATAAGGGGATTTTAACCAGAAATATTTTCATTTCATAATCAATCTAAAGTTATTTTTCCACAACTTTGCACTACGACTTTGTAGAATAATTTATTTATAATCTAAAAATAATTGAGTAAGCCTTAAAATTTCACATAAGAGTAAACATTTTTATTGAAACACTGGACAAGTAAAACATTTTGGTAATTCCTACAGTGTTTACAGTGAAGACCTTTCAATTATTAGAAAGTGTAAGAAACTTGAACTCCACAGTTACTAATCACTAATGAAAGCAATATTTCAGAGTGTCATGAAACTGAAGTGATAATTTTAGAATACAGTTATTAAACTTGGATATCAATTATTTTAACTGAGTCTTTTGACCAAAGTAAGCTTAATAAGAAAGTACCTCCTCTATGAAACAGATACAATTCAAAGCTTAACGGATAAATGAAAGAAATATAGTCACCTAAAAACTGCCATGGGGGCCCAGTGCGATAGCATAATGGTTAAAGTCCTCGCCTTGAGCACGCCTTTATCCCATATGGGCACTGGTTCTAATCCCAGCAGCCCCGCTTCCCATCCAGCTCCCTGCTTATGGCCTGGGAAAGCAGTCGAGGACGAACCAAAACCTTGGGACCCGGTACCCGCGTGGAAAACCTGGAAGAGCTCTTTGCTCCTGGCTTCGGATTGGCTCAGTTCCAGCCTTTACAACCAGTTGGGGAGTGAACCATATGACACAGGATATTCCTCTATGTCTCTCTTCCTCTCTGTATATCCGCCTTTCCAATAAAAATAAATAAATCTTTAAAAACTGCCATGTACATATAAGAAATTTAATAAAAGAAACAATTTTTGCATTGTCTTATTGAGTACTGGGGTGCGGTGGGAAGAATGTTGCCAAGTACTATTTTAAAATGACAAATTCTGGGACCTGGCAAGATGGCTCAGTGGCTAAATCCTCGCCTTGCATCTACAGGGATCTTATATGGGCACCGGTTCTTGCCCCAGTTGTTCCATTTTCCATGCAGCTCCCTGTTTGCAGCCTGGGAAAGCAGTCGAGGATGGGCCAAAGCCTTGGGACCCTGCACCCGGTGGGAGACCCAGAAGAGTTCCTGGCTCCTGGCTTCAGATCGGCACAGCTCCAGCTGTTGTGGCCACTTGGGGAGTGAACCAGTGTAAGCAAGCTCTATCTCTATATTTCCTTCTCTCTGTGAATGTGCCTTTCCAGCAAAAATAAACTATTCTTAAAAATCATAAGTCCTGAATTATATGTTAATTTTTAGGATAGGCTCAGTTGGCTAACTCAAGAAATGGGGGATTTGAAAGTTTTTAACATTTTGAATTTGTAAAATCTTTTTGACATACATTCAGATGCTTACCGGCACAGAACAACTGTGCCAAGCACCATGTTGGAAATTTGTGGAAGTGAGTACCAGTCTACTGAAATTTCAGGGAAGTGATCTTGGCTTTCTAGAGCCATACAGAGGCAAGAGCTGGGAGTACAGGGTGGAGGGGCTGGATTGGGGAAGCAAAGGCAGTTGGTGTTCAAGCTGGGTCCGAGGTGACAGACTCCAAGCCCAGGAAGGCAGGTGGAAGTCTCAGGGCCTTAGCTCAGTGTTGGGGCCATTTCGGTCACCTGCATGAGCTTCTTTCTCTGCAAGGATACAGAAAGGGCCAGCACGATGTCGTGAGGAGCACAATACGACTCTGTCCACTCAAGTTCAACAGTCCTGGACAAGCAGCAGGTGGGCAATGCACGTCCAGTTGCTTTGTGTATGTGGGAACAGGGGTCAGAGTGCACGCTGCAGGCCCCCTGACAGGCTAAGGCTGCAACTGTGTACTGCCTTGGCTGGGTTCTGGACAAGCTTGGTGCCCCTCCTCAAGAATGGCAGCAAACTGTTAAAAAAAGAAACTGTTCCTAGTTTGGCACAAGAGGTAGCGGGTGGCATCGTGTGACCTGAGCTAAAGGATTCCTATCAATCACGTTCCAATTAGTACTCAGACCCTGGGTGCGGCACGTGGATTCCAGCCCCACCCGCATGCTCCTGAGGGTGCCAGCTCCCTCAGTGTAACATCATCTTTCAGGAAACACACACATCCAAAGAATTCTTTGATTCTAAAGCCCCAGAGGCCCCCCGGGGGGGGGGGGTGGTTAATAAAAAACCAACTAAGTAGTTGAGGGGACCCTTTGACATCACAGATGGAGTTTCAGTTCGTATTCGGGCCTTTCTCTCCCTTTCATGAAAAATTATTAACGAAGGGCCGGGCGGAGTGCGGAGTTCTGCATCAAAAGAGGTGAGGCCCAGCGAACAAAGGAGATCCGCGACCCAGACGAGCCAAGGCCCCGCCGGGCGCAGGGAGAGAGGGTGCCGCGCCGCGCCCAGGCCTGCAGGCCACGGTGCCCAGCCGGGCGGCCGGGGGCGGCCGGGGGGGCGGCCACTGCCTGCCGACACCTCCGAGAGCGACCGCGACGACCGCCGAGCCCCAAGCCCAGGGAGGCGACTCCAGGCCCCGCCGCTCCCGCCTCCCGTGGGGCCACGCCCTCCAGCCCCGGGTCCCTCTCCGCAACCCCTCCGGCGCCGAGGCAGCCTCACCTGGCCAGAGGCAGCGGCGACAGGCCCGAGAAGCCGGCTGCGCCCGACCGAGCGCCGCCTGAGTGACAGCAGCTGCGCCCGCGGGGCTCGGCGCACAGGAACAGGAAACGCCGAGCGCGCGCCCGCGCCCCCCGTGCCCGCCCGCGCCCCTGGGCCGCGTCCACCTCAGCGCCGCCCGCGCGTCCACTCGCCGCCAGGCCTCACCGAGCTCACCCCGCCGGTCCCCACCGCTCTGAGGGCCGCGAGGCAGAACACCCCAGCGCAGAGAGCCCGGTTTAGCCAAGGTTTCACGGTCTCGGAGGAAACACCCTTTGCAGCGGATGTTCCCGACAGCACAGCGAAAACTAGCAGATTGCAGATTCCGTGTGCTCAGTGGTGTCTACGGTCAGGTCTGGACGCCTACCTGGCTTTGTAGGCAAACAATGCACAGTGTGCCCCAGAACCTCGGACCACGGTTGGGGCCCCTGCAGGAAAGGCAAACGTTCGCCCATGACTGACAATTTGCTGATTTTTCCTGAACGGTGCCCCTTCTGCTCATATGTGCGTCTTTGAGTAAACAGTTAGTCCCTACTTTGGTCCAGATGATTGACATATGGCCGCAGCCATCTAGCCACTTGCTAGCCCGCAATGAAGACGCCATGACTGTTAATACTAACTTATTTACTTACTTACTTACATACATACACACACGCACATACAGAGGTAATGAATATCCTTGTACTTAAAAATATAAAAAATGGGGCCTGCTGGCTGGACAGGCAGTGGCACCCTCTTGGCCTGAGTGTGTGCTGGAGGATGGAGTCAGTTGAATTACGCTTCAGTCCCAATAAGGTATACCAGATCCGAATGGGATGTGAGGCAGACAGGACCAGTCCACTGCACATGCCGGCAGACATAGCAACCAGAACTGGGGGGCCTGTCCAGTGGGGGTTATTAGGGGTCACTCTGACTGGGCTGCAGCTCCCCCTGCGGTATGTCAGGGCCGAGCACGTGTTGGGCAGGGCTGCGCTGGGCTGCAGCACCCATAGAAAAATACCCCAATTTCTCAACTACCCCAATGAAACTTGACAGCAGATTTCTGGGCGCATGGAGACTCACAGGTGGACTAGGACAGCCAATCAACCTCAGAAAGATTTCCTCATCCGTGGAGCAGCAATATTAGCAGCATTTCAGAACTACCAAAAACACATGAACAGGACCCTCAGAAAATGCTCCACAATGGGACCCTGAGATGACATCGGGTGGCAGTTCCCCAGTCCCTGGGGTAATGTGGTGGTTGGGAAGCTGGGCGTGGTTTCTCCTTCTGTAGGCCCTGTCCCCCATATACAGGGAGAAGATGAAAATGTATAAACAAGGGGCTCACCCACTACCCCCTGATCCTCGACCCTTCCAGCACAATAGCCTAGTGTCTAAATCCTTGCCTTGTGTGCACAGGGATTCCATATGGGTGCTGCTTCATATCCCGGCTGCTCCACTTTCCATCCAGTTCCCTGCCTGCTGCCTGGGAAAGCAGTAGAGGATGACCCAGAGCCTTGGGACCCTGCACCCCCGTGGGAGAGCTGGAGAAGGCTCCTGGCTTCAGACCGGCTCAGCTGCAGCTGCTGCAGTGACTTAGGGAATGAACCAATGTACGGAAGATCTTTCTGTCTCTCCTTCTCTATAAATCTACCTTTCCAATAAAAATAAGTAAATCTCTAAGAAAAAGACTATTAATTTTACATAAAATGTTTTTAATATACACACAGTATACAATTAAATAGTGAAGGCATTCTATAAAAATATAAATAATTTCGGGCCCGGCACGGTGGCGCAAGTGGTTAAGTCCTCGCCTTGCACGCCCGGGATCCCATATGGGCGCCGGTTCTAATCCCTGGCTTTAGATCGGCGTAGCACCAGCCGTTGGGGTCACTTGGGGAAGTGGAAGATGGAAGATTTTCCTCTGTCTCTCCTCCTTTTTGTATATCTGACTTCCCAATAAAAATAAATTTTAAGAAAAGAAAAAATAAATAGGGGTTTGACTTTTTTTTTTTTTGCAACATTTTAAGTTTCCAAAAATACATTTTGCATTTATTTAGAAATTCACTGGAATGATTACACTAGGCACTGTGCTGGGCTTTGTGGAAATCAGGGTTTTACATGGAACTTTCTGAGCTATGATCTCTGCCCTCCAGAAGAACGATGAGGAAAGAGCTGGGAGTAGAAGTGGAAGGGATGTGCCTTAGGGAAAGGAGTGTAGCTTGTGTAAAGGCTGGGAAGGAGGTGAGAGAATCAGTAGGGAGGGACAAGCAGTTGAGATTGACCAGAACATAAAAAGCAAAAGAAGGGACATGCATGGAAGTACAGGTCCTCAGTGGCTTCACAAGCCTGCTGCTCCGAGCCCTACCGGCTGACAAGGGCAGGGGTGGCCCAGCTTTGCTCTGAGGCTTCCACGATGGGTAAATGATTCTCAAGGTCACTACCTGCATAAAGCAAACACTCAACAAATGTTAGTTTTTTGATCACTGTGATAGGTATGTAAGCCTTTTCCGTCCTCAATTCACAAAGCGCTGAAAATAAAAGAAACTTTCCTAGGTTTGGCACCAAACTTATTTGGTGACAAAATCTGACTAAAGGGCCTGGTGAAATGGCTCAGTGGCTAAATCCTCACCTTGCACACATCAAGATCCCATAAGGGTGCCGATTTGTATCCTGGCTATTCCACTTCCTATCTAGCTCCCTGTTTGTGGCCTGGAGAAAGCAGTCGAGCATGGCCCAAAGCCTTGGGATCCTGCACCCATCTGGGAGACCCAGAGGAAGCTCCTGGCTTCTGGCTTCAGACCAGCTCAGTCCTGGCCATTGCAACTACTTGGGGAGTGAAGCAGCAGATGGAAGATCTTTCTCTGTCTCTCCTTCTCTCTGTAAATTTGCCTTTCTAATAATAAATAAAAAATATTTTTTTAAAAAATCTGATTAGGAACTCTTTATAATTGTTTAAATTTCACTTGGGGTAAAATGCCCCATTCACTGCTGCACGAACATGGGGCTGCTGTCCCCACTTCCATTGCTACAGATGTTATTGCTACAGAACACATTGTCTTCCTAAAATATAGACAAAATCCAGAGACGAACTTCCAGTCTAACGGTTAAGATGCTGCATTTCTTATCAATGAAACCAAACATATCTATTTCTCCCACCCCCTTTTCTAAAAAAAAAAAAAAGAATTTATTTTATTTATTTTTTGTGGAAAGGCAAATTTAGAGAGAAGAAGAAGCAGGGAGAAAGATCTTCTATCCACTGACTCATTCCCCAAGTTGTTGCAACAGCTGGAGTTGCAAATAGTTGGGCCAATCTAAAGCCAGGAGCCTCCTCTGGGTCTTCCACAAGGGTCCCAAGGCTACAGGCATCCTCTACTGCCTTCCCAGGCTACACGCAGGGAGCTGGATGGGAAGTGGTTCAGCTGAGACACAAACTAGCATCTTTATGGGGCACCAGCATTTGCAGGTGGAGGATTAGCCGTCAAGCCCCGCTTTTCATATTCTGATAAACAAAAGCGAATTACTAAGTCTGTGACTGACTAGACTGTTCAAACAGATAAATAAGTGCATGCCTGTGAATTTCAGAAACTGGCCTTGAGAAGCCAGCTGCAATTGCAACATAATCTCTTCCTCCCTTGTCAACAGGACCAGAGATTCAAATTTATTGTAACACAACGCAAAGTGTTATGGATAACGAAGGACACAGAAAGCACAGGCTCTAGGCCAATTAATGGGAACACTGAAATCCCAATTAATGGGAACACTGAAATCTCTTAACACAATCCTCTTCCTCTTTCCAATCTCAGCCAGATAACATTTTCTAGCTACTCAGTTGCACAGACGATCCTGCTCATCCTGCTCATCCTGCTCTCGCTCCCTCCTGATAGAGCCACACTGTCCAGCCAGTTTCCCAGGGAACTGCCCTGGCAGCTGAGACACCCTGTTGTCAGACTTGCAACTGGCCTCAGCTGGTCTCAACAGCAAACTTCCTTTTCTGAATTGTTTAAAAGCGCCAGAATGTCCTCACCCTAACCAACAGATTGAGACATCAGTATGCCAACACCCTCATGTATCTATATAAATTTTCTCCTCAGTCTTGTTGTAATTTTGATTCAGCACTGGGGTTGGGGACTAAGCTTCCGGTCCCAGTTCCAGCTCAATTCTTGCGTTCCTGGCAGTTGGGTCCCTGCCACCCCATGTGGACGACTTGGATTGAGTTTCCGGTTCCTGATTTTGGCCTGGTTTAGCCCTGGCTAGTAGGGGCTTTTGCAGAGTGGACCAGTGAATTGGATCTCTCTATTTCTATTTTCTCAGATGATTAAATAAATAAGAGACAAAATAAAGATGTTCCTGAATTCCAAAGTACAATTGGCCCCAAGGGCTTTGATGACAAGACTGTGGATGGATATGACCACTTTCTTCCAGGCAGAGGAAAAGAACATGCCTTTAGACCCCACCCAAGTTTCTGAAGCAAAGAAATTTTGTGACTCTGGCTCAGTGACACCAACAACAGTGTTACTACATGTCTCTTTTCTCATTTCTGAAGTACTCAATTTATACCAACAGTTCCTGATACAAGTCTACTAGAATGGATCAGTATGTTTTGACTACTAGTTGGAGCTCTTATGCTCAAGCTAGATGGTCTCTTGGAGCCGTTTTCTCTATTTCCTTGATATTTTTTCATTCTGAGTTTGTCAAAAGTTTCCAGTGCATGGTAAACCTCCAGAAATTGTTCCATCAGAACCCAAGGAAGATGGACTTTCCGTAACGTCCATCCCTCAAGGCTCTAGATTTGGGGAGGTGAAAGTAGCTTCAGATTTTGTATTCTTCTTCCTTGCTATCTCCTAGGAACTAATTGCTAATCAGATAGACTGCCTCCCTCTGTGTCATATATTGTACCAAAAACAATTCTCAAGTAGACAACAAAAAATAAACTTTAAAAAATGGCGTTGGGCCCGGCGGTGTGGCCTAGCAGCTAAAGTCCTCGCCTTGAACTTGCCAGGATCCCATATGGGCGCCAGTTCTAATCCCGGCAGCTCCACTTCCCATCCAGCTCCCTGCTTGTGGCCTGGGAAAGCAATCAAGGACCGCCCGAAGCTTTGGGACCCTGCACCCATGTGGGAGACCCGGAAAAAGTTCCTGGATCCAGGCTTC